AGAACGAACGTTAAATTGTTATTTTCAAAATTTTAAATTTCTTGATTTCATTTTTGTTATGGATCTGTATTTATTCCGTTGTTTTCAAATGAAATGAGTAAATTCCATAATGACAATCTTGCAAAGACTTTAAAAAAGTGACACTTTTGAAAATACAAAGTCAAAAAATGACATTTAGTACAATTTCCTCAAGTGTTTCTAATTTCAGGAGTTGACTTTTTTAAAATAAAAATTATTTTATATTCAAAGAATTTCTTAAAAATAGTCAAGACTTCAATTCCAATTTACTTGAGCGGCCTCTGCACATTGGGTCACAAGATATAAGTTTATATGTGTAAGCATGATGATTGTATTGGACATAAAAAATGACATGTATATATTTTCATGAATTTCTTCCTCAGTGAATGGATAAAAACCATCCCTCCTTAAATTTTTTAAAAATTTTCCAATTAAAAGTGTTTTGAAATTATAAATTTAAATTTATTAAAATAAGATGGAGAGAAAAGCAAAGAACGAGCCTTACACAGACTTCATTACCAAATTGAGCCATGCAAGGACCACAACCCACTTCTATAAGAGAGTTTATACCACATCGAAGACTTTACACATTTAGCATAGTCGAGTAAAATGCAATCCCGTCCCTTTAGTTTGATTCATACTCTAGTCAATTTTATTAAACACATTTCTTGAGCTTAGAAATGTATTTGGCTATAGCGATTGTTTGGATTTCACTATAAGTACATTATAATTTGAAAATCAAAGTAACTTTATATTTTGTAGGATCATAACTACTATTCATTCATCTACCATTTATTTTTATCACGGTAAAATTTAAGTAACTATAATGAAATCCATGTAAGTATATAGTTGTTACGAGTCTTATGAAAAATACAATTAAAATTAAAATTTGATTTTGACTCTTACATTATAATTTATAATGTACTTATAATTAAATCAAAAAAAATATGCCTAATAATTATTGACTATAGATTCAATATATATATTAAAAAGGGTTGTTTGGGGTTATTGTAGATGTAATAATAACCGATGAGATGTTGTTGTTCATTTTTTCAATTTTCACATCTCCAATCCTTCAGTTTTATACCACATCAATTTTTTTTCCCCAATCTGCTATAAAAATGATGTTTAGGTATATATTTTTGCATTATTCTTTATTCTCGTCCATATATTCAGAATCACTATAATATAACCAGAAGAAAATGAATGTTCACAGGTGAGATTGGAGATTATCGAATATGATAACATTTCCAACTATTATATAATTCATGAGTCGACAAATGCTAACATGGCAAATTGAAAGATCTTAATTGTTATCATTTTTATAATTTAAATTAAATATCTTCTATATATTAAAAGTGGCTATGTAACGGAATTTCTTGTTTTTAACGAAAAAACTAACGGAATTTGTTATTTTAACGGATTATGTAACGGAATTTCTTGTTTTAAACAGGCAGCTGCACCTTCCTTCAATNTATCTTCTATATATTAAAAGTTACTATGTAACGGAATTTCTTGTTTTTAACGGAAAAATTAACGGAATTTGTTGTTTTAACGGACTATGTAACGGAATTTCTTATTTTAAACAGGCAGCTGCACCTTCTTTCAGTGTTTTTATCACAACGTTGTATTTCGATATCTGATTGAGGTGATTCAAAATGCGTTGGAAAGCTAACTCATCTGACTACAACTTTGATTCAGACATCATTCTCCAATTCGATAACTTTGTATGCCAAAAATAGGTCTCAATATGAGACTAAAATATCGGAACATAACTTTTCGGTTGGAAATTGATTTGTGATCATCTTTTGACTAAATTTGATTCCATTGATGTCTTCCTTTATCCAATTAATTCTGAGCACTCTCAAATCTTCATCGTGAGGTTCGGCACAACTTTTAAGTATTTACATTTTAGTCCCCGAACTTTGGATTCCTTACAATTTAGCCATTTCTCCAAATTTGTCCACCTTTGCTTATTTTCTTCGATCTCA